TTAGCCAGGAGTGGTGGCAGACACCTGTAATCCCAGCCACTTGGGAGGCTGAGGCAGGAGAATTGCTTCAACCTGGGAGGCAGAGGTTGCAGTGAGCTGAGATCGCACCATTACACTCCATCCTAGGCGACAGAAAGAGACTCTGTCTTTAAAAAAAATAAAATTAAATTAAAAAAAAAAGGCCCTTAATAAATACCTTTTAAGTGAGACCTCAAAATGCCCTAGAAAGTTTTTAATAGCATTACCTCCCATCCTACAGATGAGAAAATAGAGGCTTGGATCAAGGTCTAGCCATAGCTTGAACTCAGGTCTTGGGTCCTTATCCTCTAGGGAAAGTGGGAAGAAGACAAGAAAGGAGTGTTTTAAGTAGGAGGGCCATAGAAATGGGGGATGCAAGCAGTGACACATGGTGCCATTGTTGTAGAAAGAACTTAAGCTGTGAAGTCAGCTGTGCCTCCACCTCTCTGAACCTCTGTTCCCATCTGTATACCTGGGATAATAATCCCAAATTCTCAGGGATGCTGTGCAGATTACTGAGGATTGTTTGGGTGACTCCTTCCCCCTTCTCAGCATGCCTCTGAGCCCCTTCCCCCAGGCCTTTCCCTGGCATGACTTTCCAACACCTGCAGTCTCTACCAGCCCAGATCCCCCCTCCTCAGACTCTAGAACCATTCCTCCCCTGCTGAACTGGTGACTATAAAGCAGCTTTTCTTAAAGCGAGTGAACCCCACCCTAGCAGGTTACAGGCTTGGGCTCGTTAATAATTCACAAGTGAACGGGACCATCAACAAAGGGCCCTTGGAGGCCTGTGACAGTGACAGATCTTAAATCTCTTTTGGCAAGGGCCCCTGGGGAGGATCTACTCCTGCCTCTTGAACAGGCATGGATTCTGCCCCCCACTAGCTATGTGACCTTCAGCAAGTCAGTTTCCTCTTCCCACTAGATATAAAGGGGACAGAAATTGGGCCAGGAGCTCAAGGGACCTCCCTGCTCAGAGGGTCTCAGTT